CGGGAGCCACCCACAGAGGCTGCTGCATCCCTCCCACGGCCGGGCCCCAGGGAATGCGGTCGCCCCGTGGGCACGTGGTGCGAGCACAGGCCTGGGAGCCGCCTGCCACTGGCCAAATATCTTCTATGCAACATCCCTGATTTGCCACCCGCTGTCCCACCCCACCCCTCCCCCCAACAGCCTTCCCACGCGAGTGAGTCACCCTGCACTGCGCCCCTGGACAGACTCAGCCTCAGTTTCCCCGGATGGAGAATCACGAGGTTCATTTCAAAGTGGGCCAGTACGTAGGCCTCCCCTCCTGCAGCCCCAATGTTTTCCTGGGGTGGGTCCTCCATCGCCCCTAGACATGGGGGCCACTCTCCTCCCACTTCCCCAGCCCTACAGCCTGTTCTGGGCTTTGAAGCTGGCGTGGAGCCACTGTACCGTGTGTGACTAACCCGGGCATGCAGCTCCCTCTGGGTGGGGCTCGGAGCTGCACCCTCCCCAGGCAAGCTCCCAAGCCGAAGTTCAAACAAATCTGTCCCCTGGATCCTGCTAGAGGGGGAACGTGCAGCGAGCCGGGAGGCTAAACGGGCTCCTCCCTACACAGGGCGAAACCAGGGCCCTTTCCCCAGCAGAGTGCTGCCTTTTCTGGGGCACGGCGGGACCTGGGGGGAGAAGGGAGCCGTCCTTACCAGGGCAGTTTGGGAAAGGTATCGGGACAGCACAATGGCCGCGATGCCGCAGGAGATGGTCTGCAAAGGAAGCGGAGAGAGCAGTGGAGGGGTGCCCTGCTAGGTTAGGTATGACAGGCCCGCAGAGCCGCGGGGACGGGGCGGGGTGTGGCTGTCGTCTCCCCCCCCCCCCTTTCCCCTCTCGGCCATTCGCTCACTTGTGTCGGTTCCCTCCAAAATCTCAACTTCCCAGCCCTCCGCTATAGATGCATGTCCCCCGAGATGGCCCCCCATGGACACAGGGGATCCCACCTCCATTAGAAACCAGGTTCAAAAGGCCCAGGGGACAGCCTGGCTCGGCTTGAGGTGTGAACTAGGCACGGCCCCTCCAAGAGACCTGGGTGGCTCTCGGAATGGAGACGCACAGCGTGGCCTGCTCGGCCAAGCCCTAGGGCCTGGCCTCAGCGCAGAGGCCCAATGCCTTGCACTAGGGGGCACCCTGGGGCCTGGTCCTTAGCACAGAGGCCTGGTCCCTTGCACTAGGGGGCGTCCTGGGGCCTGGTCCTTAGCACAGAGGCCTGGTCCCTTGCACTAGGGGGCGTCCTGGGGCCTGGTCCTTAGCACAGAGGCCTGGTCCCTTGCACTAGGGGGCGTCCTGGGGCCTGGTCCTTAGCACAGAGGCCTGGTCCCTTGCACTAGGGGGCGCCCTGGGGCCTGGTCCCTTGCACTAGGAGGTGCTCTCACGCCTGGTTCCGCCTTTTCCACACTAGCTTCCCGTGTCCGTTCCAAGTCTTGTTGCAGCTTGCCCCAGCTGAGGGCCAACACACCAGCAAGGGCCATGTCCTCCTGAGGCAGGGCAGAGTGGAGACCGTGCGGCTCTGA